AAGAATCACAATGAGAATGCACTGAGAGTACACAAATGGGTTTCTAAACTTGCAGGTTCACATCAAATAATGTTGGACATAAAGCAGCCTGAACAGTGGTGAGCCCTAGGGCTACCCTCAGAGAGACCATGACTTCTCAGTCAACAGACTTAGCTAGCTCAGGCCCAAGAATCTCCCATGCATTACCATGGCTACCGGTGGGTGAGAATAAATGGAGACTTGGTTAAAACCAACAAGCTACTAACCTGTATGTTAGTGTGAGCTCATTTCTCACTGTCTGTATAATATCTTCCTTCTATAGTTGCCCATATTTTGTAAGCATCTAATTTTTTTCTATGAAATAATTTTTCATTGCAAATACTAAGAAAATTCAGAAAGCTATAAAGAAGAATTAAATCATCTTCAGAATCAGAGTTAGTGCTACCTTTGAGAGTATTCCATTATTGTTTTTTTTTTTTTCATTTTATGTAAATCTTGATCTCTATTTACAGGTTTAAAATATTAGGAGCACAATTTTCCAATTTGGAAGGGAAGAAGTAAAATTATACCTATGCACATATGACATGATCCTATGTATAGAAAATACCAAATAATCCACTAGAAAGCTACTAGAGCTAATAAACAAATTCAGCAAAGTGGTACACACAAAAATCAGTTGTGTTTCTATATGCTAGCAATAACAACCCTAAAAGAGAGTTAAGAAAATGATTCCATTTATAACACATCTAAAATAATTAAATGGTTAGAGCAAATCTTATGAAGGAGGTTAAAGACTTGTACACTGAAAACTCCAAAATATTTATGAAAGAAATTAAAGAAAACCTAAATAAATGGAAAGACATCTTATGTTCATCAGTAGAAAGACATTGTTAAGATATCAATCTACTCAAAGTGATCTACAGATTCAACACAGTCCATATCACATGGAATTCTTTTTCATGGAAATAAAAAAGCCCATCTTCAAATTTGTATGAAAATGCAGAGGATCCCAAATAGCCAAAACAATCTTGAAAAAGAAGAATAAAGTTAGAGGAATCACATTTTCTGACTTTGAAACTTACTACAAAGCTACAGTAATTAAAACAATATGGTATATACATAATGGTAGTTATATAGACCAATGGAACAGAATAGAGAGCCCAGAAATAAACCTCCACATATATGGTTAATTGATTTTCAACAAAGCTGCCAAGACCATTCAATGGGGAAAGGACAGTCTTTTCAAAAAATGTTTCTGGGAAAATTGGATATCTACATGCAAAAGAATGAAGTGGGATCCTTAACTTATACTATTTACAAAATTAACTAAAAATGGGTCAAAGACCTAAACTTAAGAGCTAAAACTACAAAACTCTCAGAAGAAAACATTCGGGAAAAGCTTCATGTCACTGGATTTAGCAACTATTTCACGAATCTAACACCAAAAGTACAGGCAACAAAAGAAAAAAATAAAATATGCTTCATCAAAATTAAGAAAGTGTCATTAAAGGATGCTATCAAGAAAACAAAAAGACAACCTGTAGAATGGTAAAAAATGTTTGCAAATAAAAAATCTGATAATTAATATCCATAATATGTTAAAAAAACTCCTACAACTCAACAATTCAAACATGTGCAAAAAACTTTAAAAGACATTTCTCCAGAGAAGATAAACAAATATGCTCTTGAAAAGATGTTCAACATTATTAGTCATTAGAAAAATACAAATCAAAACCACAATGAGACACCACTTTTTACCTACTAGGATGGCTATAATAAAGAAAACAGAGA